GCCATCCTTAGAGTGTAACAGCGATATAATAATTTTACGTTTTTTTAAATCGGATTTTTTGTACAATCAGGGGCCATAATTCAGGAAGTTACGGTTCGATATGCGCGAATATCGAAAGGAACCGAGATCTTTGGGTTATAAACTTACATTTCAAGTTTCAACAAAATTGGATAAAAATAATGACCTCTATTGGGTCTACAACCTTGATATACCATATTTTTACGCTATTTGAGAGTGAACGGCGGCCATTTTGTATGTCAATTTTCACGAAATTCGAATTCAGTCATCCTTAGATATGCGCGAATATCGAAAGGAACCAAGATCTTTGGGTTATAAACTTACATTTCAAATTTCAACAAAATCGGATAAAAAATTGTGACCTCTATAAAGTCCACAACCTTGATATACCATATTTTTACGCTATTTGAGAACGAAGGGCAGCCATTTTGTCTGTCAGTTTTGCGCCGATTTTCACGAAATTTGACCTCAGCCTTCCTTAGGGTGTAACGGTGATATAATAATACGTTTTTTTAAATCGGATAAAAATTTTGACCTCTATAGGGTCCACAAGCTAAAAACGCGATTTTTCGTACAATAAGGGGCCATAATTCAGGAAGTTACGGTCCGATAAGCGCCATTATCGAAAGGAACCGAGATCTTTGGGTTATAAGCATACATTTCAAGTTTAAACCAAATCGGATAAAAATTGTGACCTCTACAGTGTCCACATGAAAATGTGGGCGTATAAAAAGGCTTCTTCATCTCACTAATGTAAATTACGTATATCAATTTTAAAACAATCGGGTGTGGACGACGGATGGACAGCAGACCAATGGCACTGGGTTATAAACACGTATTTCAAATTTCATCAAAATTGGATCAAAAATGTGACCTCTGGAGGGTCCACAACCTTGGTATACCATATTAATATACACTATTTACGTACAAGGGGTGGCCATTTTGTACAGAAGTTTTGGTCCGATGTTCACGAAATTCAAATTCACGAGTAACGGTGATATATTCAAACGATTTTGTTAAAGCGGATAAAAATTGTGATCTCTAGAGGGACCACAAGCTAAAAAAGTGATTTTTCAGACAGTTAAGGGCCATAATTCAGCAAGTTACAATCTGATATGCGGGAATATCAAAAGGAACCAAGACCTTTGGGTTATAAAAATGTATTTCAAGTCTGATCAAAATTATGACCTCTAGAGGCTCCACAACCTTGATGTACCTTTTTTTTTTTACATTACTTGCGCATGAGGGGCGTCCATTTTGTCCGGCAGTTTTGGTATGATTTTCACAAAATTCGAACTCAAGCGTCATTACAGTTTAACGATTATATATTCAAACATTTGTTTAAATCGGATAATAATTGTGACCTCCAGAGGAACAACCTAAAAACGCAATTTTTCAAACAATCAGAGGCCATAATTCAGGAAGTTACATTCTGATATCCGCAAATATCGAAAGGAACCAAGATCTTTGGGTTATAAACATGCATTTCAAGTTTCATCAAAATCAGATGAAAATTGTGACCTCTAGAGTGTCAACAAGCTAAAAACGTGATTTTTCATACAATCAGGTGCCATAATCTATGAAGTTATGGCCCATTACAATAATATTGAAAGGAACCGAGATCTTTGAGAGATACATGTAGACCTATATTTTAAGTTTCGTCAAAATCAAATAAAAATTGTGACCTGTAGAGTGTCCACAAACAAATTGTGGACGGATGCGCGACGACAATAATATACCTCCACATGAAAATGTGGGCTTATAAAAACTTGAAGCTTTAATGCATATGACAATATTATGTCAAAATTGTTTTGTAATATGAGCAGTTGCCGAGAAAAAGACAATTTTGCACGAGTCACTTTCCACATTATTTTGCCCGTAAAAGATTCAATTATTACTGGATTTTCATTTTTGTTTATCACCATTTGATTCCCATGACTAGGTCAAACCAATTTAACATTTTCACTGCCACCGGAATTGGCATCAATTGAACAAAATGGGCATTTTTATTCAACTGAGACGCATTTGTTATTTGTTTATAATTAAGATATTTGATTCCAAAAACAAATAGAATGAACTCATGCGGTCATATAGATATCACAATATGGTTTCTAACTTATTCATTTGCGTAGAAATAGACGATTTTCTAAAAGTCACTTTTCAGGGGTTTTGGTTCATAAAAGTGTCAATTATAATTCGATCTTCATAAAATTTTCCCCATGTGAAGCCCTATGACAATTATAATTTCATAAAACTAATTTAACATTTTCATTATCACCAGAAGTAATGACATTTTGGCAAAAACTGTATTTTTAGCCTCCAAAACAAATATTTGTTTGAAGTAAGTGATATTCATTACTTGTATAAAATTATGATATTTGATTTCAATGGACAAACAGTATGAATCAATACAATCATATAGATATCAAAAAAGTGTTTCTAGCATCTGCCCTTGTCGAGAAATAACCAATTTTGTCAGGATCACTTTTTAAGATTTTTCCCAATTTAAAGATAGGTTGCCAGGCAACGAAACATACGCCCACAGCAGCTAAATCGTCCGGGTAGTCAACAAGAGTTGTCGCATATTTTTACTTTTTTCGGTAATGAAACATTTATAATACACTAAAATCTGATTAAGAGCAACAACTCAGAAAACCATTATAATTTATTTTGGTTTTTATAAAGTTCTTCCCCATGCTAACGTTTTGTATAGAAAACTTTTAATACTGTATCATGGATTTAGCTGTTTCAAGTCATAAAAATTCATTGAAAATCAATATACTTGTTCGTCTCAAGATCTTAAACTCTGTGTATCAATCTGAAGTCAATCAGATATTAACTTTGGCCTCTAGAGCGTCCACAAGATTTTTCAAAGTGATCAAGGGCCATAACTTTGGCAGTAATTATCAGAAATCTTTGAAAATCAATAGGGTTCTTCGCCTCGTGACCTCAAACACTGTGTATAAATTTAAAGTCAATCAGATATTAACTTGAGCCTTTAGAGCATCCACAAGGTTTTTTGAAGTGATCAATAAATTTAAAGTCAATCGGATATTAACTTTTGCCTCTAGAGCGTCCACAAGATTTTTCAAAGTGATCAAGGGCCATAACTCTGGCAGTAATTATCGTAAATTGCTGAAAATCAATAGGATTCTTCGTCTCATGACCTTAAGCACTGTGTATAAATTTAAAGTCAATAGGATATAATAATTTGGCCTCAAGAGAGTCCACAAGATTTTTTTGAAGTGATCAAGGGCCATAACTCTGGCAGTAATTATCAGAAATCGCTGAAAATCAATAGACTTCTTCGTCTCATGACCTTAAACACTGTGTATAAATTTAAAGTCAATCGGATATTAACTTTCGCCTCTAGAGCGTCCACAAGATTTTTTTGAAGTGATCAAGGGCCATAACTCTGGCAATAATTATCGGAAATCGCTGAAAATCAATAGGCTTCTTCGTCTCATGACCTTAAACACTGGGTATAAATTTAAAGTCAATCGGATATTAACTTTGGCCTCTAGAGCGTCCACAAGATTTTTTTGAAGTGATCAAGGGCCATAACTCTGGCAATAATTATCGGAAATCGCTGAAAATCAATAGGCTTCTTTGTCTCATGACCTTAAACACTGGGTATAAATTTAAAGTCAATCGGATATTAACTTTGGCCTCTAGAGCGTCCACAAGATTTTTTGAAGTGATCAAGGGCCATAACTCTGGCAGTATTTATCTGAAATCGCTGAAAATCAATAGGCTTCTTCGTCTCATGACCTTTAACGCTGTGTATAAATTTAAAGTCAATCGGATATTAACTTTCGCCTCTAGAGCGTCCACAAGATTTTTTGAAGTGATCAAGGGCCATAACTCTGGCAGTAATTATCGGAAATCGCTGAAAATCAATAGGCTTCTTCGTCTCATGACCTTAAACACTGGGTATAAATTTAAAGTCAATCGGATATTAAATTTGGCCTCTAGAGCGTCCACAAGATTTTTTGAAGTGATCAAGGGCCATAACTTTGGCAGTAATTATCAGAAATCACTGAAAATCAATAGGCTTTTTCGTCTCACGGCCTTAAACACTGTATATAAATTTAAAGTCAATCGGATATTAACGGACGGGGGCGACGACAATATACGACCACATTTCAATGTGGGCGTATAAAAAGGCTTTATAAAGGGTTAATTATGTTCTAATTTTAATCAATTTTCTGTCATGCAAAGGACAATCGAAGTGGTTACTTCTGTAATTCAATTTAAACATACATTATACAAGAGCTAAATCTGCCAATTGCAGGTCTTTCTTTAGTCCTGAAATGTTATATTAACTATAATTAGACATTTATTAACAAAACAAGACCATAATCAACCCTCGATGGCATCAGATACTCGAGATTTTAAATAGATTAGAACGGTTCTCCATTTAAAAATTTAATTTGAAAATGGGAAAGAGAGGCTAAGTCGCAAATATACCAGTGCCCTGTTTACCTCTATGCATACATCGAGTCAAAACTACAAACAGCGATAATTTGGTTCAGAATGAAGTAATTGGAATTAACTTTTCAATTTTCATTTTTTTTTTTTATCATCTGTTTTTGAATTATTATAGCAAGAATGGCCAACTCTTTATTAAACTCTTAACTAATGTATCTTTTTAAAATATTTTGTGGATAACGGAAGTGATGTCAGGACTTGGTTGTATAAATGGAACCGATATTGCTGGATTTATTGGCATCACAGTACTACTAGTTTTATTTGTTTTGCCTAAACAGTATTATTTTTAGATATATAAAGGGAGCCAACCCTATGTCTCTCCTTACACCACAAAATGCACTGCTCTGTCAATGTCATTCATATTACATGTCATTAGCCAAGTACTAAGGTTTTTGTTATTCAGTTAATTGAACTGAAAACCATAAACAAATTTTCTTTAAACAAAAACACCATGCAGTTAGTTATAATAATTTCTTGTCAATATAATTAACCTTTATCTTCAATGTTTTCTTTACAGCTGGCTTCAGTCTTTGTTTTATCACATAGTTTTACATCTTTTATTTTGTCTCCCTCTTCACTAATAATTTTTTTTTGCTCCTTTTCTTCAGTTTTAATGGAATCTTTATCTGCAACAGTCTTTCTTGAATTATCACCTTCTCCCTGTTTTGTAGATTTGCCATCATTCTTTTTATCTAAATCACCAATTTCTTCGACATCCATTTCTTTGGTCTTATCCTCCCCACAGTTGCTTTCTTTTACATCCATCATTTCAACATTATCTTTCGTATCTGCATTTTCTCCATTTTTTTTTTCATCTGCTGTTTCATTCATCACATCCTTTTCTCTACTTTCTTTAGAATCTGTTTCATCTTTATTTAAATCTTTTGATTCTGCTGTTTTTTCCACTTTTGCATCCTTTTCCCCTCTTTCTTTTGCAGTATTTTTTTCATCTCCAGCCATGGCATCATATACTTCATCTCTTAGTTTATCTCTTTCTTCACCTACATACGTACATTAGATAAAATTCATTTGCTTTTAAAACATACCACATGTATATTAAACATATGGTATAAGGTTGTCTTGCTAATATAAGGGGTAACTTTAATTCTTCTATTCTATATTACTCCTATTTCTTAGTAGTAACAAGTGTTATAGCTCAGATTAATGTAATCAGTAACATAGAACCTCTGCACAAACCATTCAGTTTGATGGGTCTACAAGCCATCCAATCAGGCTATAAAATTGAGGTAGCCTACTGGATAAATACCAATATTCATAACATCTAACAAAATATTTACAAATTCATTATAAATACATAAAGTCAATGCTTAGTGACTTCTCCTTTCAGTTGGCCAATTTTATTTCCAAATATATTAAAATCAGAGATCTAAATTGTAAAAGAACTGCTTTTTACCTGGTAGTTTGTTTGCATTTTCAAACTGTTCATTTCCTTTCTCTTCCTTCTCATCAGCAGTATCTTCATCATCAACATCAACTAGTAATACGGGACCATAAATATCATCCAACGTAATTATTAAAACAAAAACCAATTAAAACAATGAATAACTATTTGAATAAAAGCATGTCAAAACTTAAGACTTTTCACTTTTGCACAAGACTTATTTTCAGTGTACAATGTAGTCTTTGATCAGAAAAACAGAATACACCATCATTGATAGCCTCAAAAATCTTTATCATTCTCGATTCAAAAGGGGCAAACTTTACCGTCAAGAGTTTTCAGTTCAGTAACTACCTCGCTCAGTGAAAAGATTATAACAATACCTCCTTGCAAAGCATTTCCTAACACTCCTGTTTCCATTCTGGCGAGATCTAGTAAAGACTGACCATAACAATAATAAGCTTCAGCACATTCTTTAGCCATCTCTCCATAATGTTTTGACCTGCAAAATGTCAAAATAATCAACTTTGCATGTGTACTAATCGGCTTATAAAATAGTAAACCAGCAGCTGCCAGGCAGGATACGCCCACATTTTGCAAGAAATGGATAGAGAACAAGCTAAACAAAAAGCCTTTTTTCGTACAATCAAGGGTTATAATTGAGGAAGATACAATCCGATATGCGCAAATATCAACAGGAACCAAGATCTTTGGGATCGCGTGGCTAAGTGGGTAAGACGCTGGCTTGCTAGCCTGGAGGTCGGGTGTTTGATCCCTGCATTGGCCGAGAAAGTTCATCCAGATTTTCAGGCGTGGTTTCCCCTTGTCAGTGATGCAGGACGGAGGGCCTGACAAGGACAGCTGTTTAGTCGTTTGGATGGGACGAAAAACCGAGGTCCCGTGTACATATTGGCGTGCACGTAAAAGATCCCTTGGCAGTTGGAATTCGATATAAGAGTAGGCCGTAGCGCCGCTGCCCGGGCAAAATTTCCCGTTTTCATTAGCCCAGTTTAGGAGCAGAATAGTAGGACGCTAAACCCCATTTCATTTCATTTCGTTGGGTTATAAAGATGTATTTCAAGTTTCATCAAAATCGGATCAAAATTGTGACTTCTAGAGGGTCCACAACCTTTATATACCATATATTTACACTATTTGCGTACGAGGGGCAGTCATTTCGTCCGTCATTAGGATGTAACGGTGATTCAAACGTTTTTTCCAATCGGATAAAAATTTTGACCTCTAAAGGGACCACAAGCTAAAAACGTGATGGTTTTTGTACAATCAAGTGCCATAATTCAGGAAGTTACGGTCCGATACATGCCAAAATCGATAGGGTTATAAACATGTATTTCAAGTTTCTTCAAAATCGATCAAAATTGTGACCTCTAGAGCAGGGTACGAAATAACACGCGAATGGTCATTCAGGTTACAAACATGTATTTCAAGTTTCTTCAAAATCGATCAAAATTGTGACCTCTAGAGCAGGGTACGAAATAACACGCGAATGGTCGTTCAGGTTACGCATCGGTTACCATGACCCAGAAACACGCGAACGGACGTCCGTTCTCGACCACCGAGCTATCGGCAAACCTCAGCAGAGATGTAGGGTACCGTAATCAGCCGAGGTTTGCCGAATGTCGAACTATAATTTATAAACTGAAGAATTGTCAAAATATTTCCCCCACGCTCACGTTAAATACATATTACAATTATTAAAAATATCTAAAAGATTATTTTTGCTTTCTTGTAACAAGTTTGGAGATTCACGTCATATATTTCTTATAAAAATCTAAATAACATTTTGTTCGTGAATGTACGAGATGTTGAGTGAACATGGCCGCCCCCGTGAAAAAACCTCATGTAGAAACAGTGAACGAAAAAACATTTCGCTCTTGGGATTTTTCGTCTTGACTTTTCGTATGAATTGGACAAGAATAATAAGGTTACAGCAGTGAAATGCCGAATATGTACAGATAATATTGCTCAAATACGCAATGAAGCTAAAAGACGAGGAATTTCTGGAACGGTGTTGAACGGAATACCAGCATATGTTGATGGTGTGACATATGTACATAAAAGTAACGTGAGCTGGCATGTTCACTCAGGATCGCTTCATGATTGGGCGAAAAAAAAATCTAAACTTGAAGACACAGTCGATGCAATCACAGGTATTGAGACTCATCCTCCTAAGGAGAAGCCTAGTAGTTTTAGAAGTATAGCATTTCTGATAACACAAAACTGTCATGACCACTACTTACACCTGTTTAACACTGTCATGTCTCTTGTTATGAGGGAAAAACCACTTTCTGACTTCAAATATTTAATAGAGCTCCAAAGAAAGAATGGTGTTAAGTTTTTTACTGGCAAAGACAACAAAAAGGCTTGCAGAGAATTTATTTACTACTTGGCTAAGGCCCTAATGGAAGATATATCCAATATCCTCAGATGTACAAACTTCTTTTCCTGCCAACAAGATGGAACAGAGGCTAGGAAAACACGTGATGAAAAAGAATTGGTGTATGCCAAAGTTGTTGTAAAAGGGCAACAAACCGAATTACTATTGAAATGTAAACAAATGAGTCATTTTGGAGGTGCCGAGGCCGCCCATATTAAAAATAGTATCGACGATGCCTTTTACAGTTATGGTGTCCAAGGAGAATTTTTCATGAATTGTCTTGTCTCATCTTGTGCAGATGGCGCCAGTGTCAATTTGGGCTCTGTATCTGGGGCACTCACAGTAATGAAGAATGAAGGTCAGCCATGGTTATTAATAATCCATTGTAGTGCTCATCGTATTGAGCTGGTCATCAAGGATGCTTTTCAAACTGTCAATGATTTTGCTAGGATAGATGAAATGATGCTGAATCTGTATTTATTTTTTAAACACAGTGGGAAGTGTTGGAGACTACTGACTTTGATGGCTGAGAAGCTGAATGTTGTAGTTCAGTGATTTCCGAAGTCATCTGGTACAAGGTTTACTGCACACAAGTACAGGGCCATTAAAGTTCTTATTGTCAATTTTCTACCACTGTGCTTGCTAGCTGAAAATTTGGTGGCTTCAAACAACTAGATCTGTAAACCAGAACAAAAGGCAAAGTTACAAGGCTACTTACGACAGTGGTTAGATTATGGTTACCTTGCATCGATTCATCTTTATAGATTAGCTCTTCGGCAGACAGCACATTTATCTTACTTGGTACAGAATTCCACACCCATAATTACTGATATAATTTATGGTATCCAGTCAATAGTAGACCAGTTAAATGCATTGATGGAGCTTGAAGAAAAACTCCCTTTTGAATCAAGACCAACAGATGATGGTTTGGGGGTGATTATCACACCAGAGTCAACCAATTTACCAGCGACATTGAAGTTCAAGGAACAAAATATGTTAAGTGATAGTCAGAAGAAAAAATTAGAGAATAATGTCACAGTAGTACAGGAAGAATTCATACTGAAGAATGTTAACAGAGGTAAACAAGTTGTTAATAGAATCAAGACAGAGTTGATACCAGCATTGTCAGCTAACTTGTTTAAACGTCTGGAGTCATTTGAAGATGGAATATTTCAAGCCTTTTAAAATTGTTGATCACAGTCAGTGGGATACATCCAACCCAAATTATGGTAAAGAAGAAATCATCCAGATTGGAGAGCATTTCCAGCAGAGTTTGTCATATCACAAGTATTCAAAAGACCTTGCCTTGATGGAATGGAAAGTCTTAAAGAATTTGGTTTCAACCAAATTTCATCACAAAGTCATCGCTAATGCCTTGGGAAAAGATCTTTGCACATCACAATGAAGATTTAAACCATACTCTTCTAATTATTGAATTGATCTTAGTGACTTCCCTTTCAAGTACTACAGTAGAATGGGGCATTGGTAAGGATGTAAACGGTTACTCGGTTGACCGGTTACGGTTCGGTTCTGCAACCAGACCGGTTCGATATTCCTGTGACCGTTATTCGTTCTATATAACAATGTCAGTGTATATCGACCTAGTAGTAAACTAGCATTAGCCCAGGCTCTCTTGTTCATATTACACGTTGATACAAAAATTTCCCGGTAATAAAACGGTCGTGTTCGCTGCTCGAAAACGTAGTAGAAAAATTATGCCGTAAACAAAGTATCTTTCGTCCCTCTGGCATGTGGCCAAATGGTATAATCTTTTCGTCATTTCATTGGCTCGATGGGGTCACATGTTCAGTCACGTGTGGTAAACATACAAATTTTATAGTATTAGCTTTTAATACGGCAATATTTATAAATATAAATTATGTAAGTTATAATAATGTTTTGACCGTGATCTAAGACTCTCCAGAAAAGAGCGACTTATTGCGTTGTATCTTCGGGCTGGGTAATCTTGACTACAGGTTGACTATTAAATGCGTATGAAAATGAAAGTAATGCCGTGCGCGCGAATAAAGACGTCGAATTAAATATTTTATTAATGGATTACATTATAACATTGCACATTGAGATGGAGGTAGGTGGGGCCATAGAATATTCCTATATTTATAACGGGTCGAACACTAATAATATTGTATCAATTTTCCGATCTGTCACACAACGGCATGTGCTACTGGGCGAGTGACGACCACGTGAGACCATGACCTTTTTGACTGTTAGACGACGCAATGTTTCCTTCCGAGAAATTTGAATGAAAAACAAAATAAGCTGCAATAAATAAACTCTTCTTATATTCAAAACGAAGTTAAACAGTGTGAAAAAGTAAACTTTAATCCTGCGTACGGTCCGGCGATTAATAACTCCGCAACTAAAAAGTGAATCGGTTGACCGGTCACGGTCGGTTTTTTGCCCATCGGTTAACCGGTTCAATTTTTTTTGACTCGTTACATCCTTAGGCATTGGTGTGTTGAATCGACTTCTACCCTAGGCGAATTCAAGCCTTCAGCTGTAAACAGTATGTCAGCAAATTAACGCATCGTAACCTATAGGTTACCATTTCAAATTTCAGTCAGATTAGCGTAACCTATTTTGAGGTTACCATATTCGAGGCTTATTTCATACCCTGAAGAGGGTCCACTACCATCATATACCAGATGTTTACACTATTTGCGTATTAGCAACAGCCTGTTTTTCTGGCAGTAATGGCCCGATTTTCACGAACCAACATTACGGTGATATATTCAAACGTTTTTTAAAATCAGATATCAAGCCAACAGTGTGGATGATGTCCCCCCGCCGAAATACCGAAATAAATTGATTGACACATTAATTAATTGCACGTTTATTTTTTTCAAAAGTATCAAGCAAACAATTATAGTATTCTTGAAAGATATTACTATTTAAGTATTTATCTACCTTTTAAAATTTCATCATTTTGGAATCATAAATTTACTCAAAATGAAAACCCCTCTTCCATATATACAAATTACTGGCGTGGTTTCGCTTCCCCGGTTTTGTGACAAGGAGTAGGGTTGCCTGTCCAACCTCGTGGGTTTTCTCCGGGTCCTCCAGTTTCCTCCCACTGCTAAGGA